GTTATTTGATCCACCATTCTACCATAGTAAATGAAATTCTATCCTAATATTTAATTTTTCATCATTACATTGATTTAATACTATTATTATTTATTATAAATATTATTATTACTAATATTATTATTAATAAAACTTTTATTATTATTATTATTATTATTATTATTATTATTATTAAACTATTATTATTATTATTATTATTATTACATAAGAATACATTATATCATTATAATACTTTATAACACAAATATAATACTTTAATTAACTAATAATGATTAATATAAACATAACCAACAAATAAAATTATTAATAATAATACATGCATAATTAAATGAATAAATTTACTATTTTAACATACACAATTAATTTACATGCACCATTAAATGAACTTAATATAATAATGTAGCATGCACAATAATAAGTAAAGAAATCCTCACATAAATGAATTTTAAATAAACTAAACTCTTTAATAAAATACGGGGTATTACAACTTGGATAGGAGGTTGGATGTGTATGGATTATTACCCATGGATAGTTGTGTATGTATATATATAAATATATATTATATACATATATAAAAAGGAAAGTAATTTATTAATTACTTTTATGGTAACTTGGGTAGTAATATTTAATCTGATATATATGTTTTATATTTAAATAATAAAAATATACGTAGATTTTATACGTGTTATGTTTTAAGTTACTTTATAATATTATGGTAACTTAAGTATTATTGGATAATCTATTAATAAATAATGGAATGTGTATAATTTATTTATTTAATAAACATATATATAAATTATATACGTAACATATTTTACTTACCTTTTTAATATATATAAAAGGAAAAGTAATTTATTAATTACTTTTATGATAACTTGGTTAGTAATATTTAATATTATGTATATGTTTTATATTTAAATAATAAAAATATACATAGTTTTAATACGTGTTATATTTTAAGTTACTTTATAATATTATGGTAACTTAAGTATTATTAGTTAATCCATTGATAAATAATGAAATGTGTATAATTTAATTATTTAATAATTATATACATAAATTATATACGTAACATATTTTACTTACCTTTTTAGTATATATAAAAGGGAAAGTAATTTATTAATTACTTTTATAGTATAGTAATATTTAATCTGATGTATATGTTTTATATTTAAATAATAAAAATATGCGTAGATTTGATACGGGTTATGTTTTAAGTTACTTTATAATATTATGGTAACTTAAGTATTTGGATAATCCATTAATAAATAATGGGATGTGTATAATTTATTTATTTAATAAAAATATACATAAATTATATACGTAACATATTTTACTTACCTTTTTAATATTTTATATTTTATTTTTTTTAAGTTGACTTGGATTGGGAAAAGAGTTAGGGTTATTTTATTTAGCCTATAAATATATAGCTATATGTTGTAAAAGAGGGTTAGAAATATTCACGTGATATATTCTAGAGAGAGAGAGTTAGAGAGGGAAAGAGAAAAAAAAAACCCTGTAGAGAGAAGATCAAGGAAGAAGAAGTTTAACTTTCGATCCGAAAGTTTAAGGTAAGTTCTTCTTCTATCTCTTTCCCTTTGATTCGTGTTTCTGTACATGCCTAGGAAATTCTAGAATTTATTAAACACATAAAATTAAATAATTATGCATGTTTAATTGGATTAGAACATAGGTTTTATGAATTTTGTTCATATCTGTTCTTGTGTTATGAATTGATAAATGCATGATTTTGATTTGATTTCCAGTGTGAATTTTTACATGTTTAAATTATGTATTTTTCATATCTGTGGAATGATGGAACGTAGAAACATGCTTAGGATTCCTGAATATTAAATAGAAATTAGGTTTTGGTTTAAATAAATTTAAATAGACTCAATTATAATGATGCTTGCTATTTGAATGTTTTAAACAAACGAATGAATTTAATCTTTTAATATATTTTAGTAATTGAGATTAAATGTGTAAGATGAATTGGATATGGAGAATGCTTATTTGACGGTATAATAAAATATCATCATATATATAAGATTCAGTTTATGTAGGACATATGATATAGGAAGCTTAAATAAATAATAAGTCATTTCTATTTTGTGATAACTTGATATCATATTATCATAGTTATTTCTGGATTGTTTGATGTATTTCCTTAATCGTTACATCAATTGTTGGATTGTGTGGTTTAATGCACCGATATGGGACGGTGGCATTCTAGGGACGGATTAACTTATCAGTTAAGTCCTACCTATTTTATATAAGGAAATGGATTAACTAAAATGTTAAGTCCTACTTATATTCAAGTCAGGTCAGCTGAACAAGTTGAATGACTTATGGAGGATTAATTTATTATATAAGGGAATGGATTAACTAAAATGTTAAGTCCTACTTATATTCAAGTCAGGTCAGCTAAACAAGTTGAATGATTTATGGAGGATTAATTTATACTGAATAGGATGGTTACTAGATTTTATATATATAAGTATGGTGCCATGATATGAGCTTGAGTCTCAGGATCAGTGGTTAGGGTGCGTATATCGCCAGGGATGTGTAGCTATATATAGTGTAGTTATGTACCCTGGTAGGTCTAGGTACTCATGCCCACTATATGTGCGTTTTGCATGTTGCCTACTATTCAGGTTGAGACAACCCTATAGTCTAGTGAGGTTCATTTAGTGTGTATATATATATATACGGACTACTAGTTACTGTTAGATTGATTAGGATGTATACGTGTATCGGATCTCTATTTGGACTGTAGTAGAGTAGAACTTGTTTGTGGGCCTGACCCACCATTATTTTTCAGGTGTTCGTCAAGAGTAGAGGTTATTTGTGCTGAGCGGGGATCAGTCTATTTCATTCTTCCGATGCTATATAGGAGTTCCTTTATGATTCAGTTTCCTGATTTAGACAGTTATTGCTGTCATTTGTTTAGTTTGGATTTTTTAGGGGTCCACACAGTATGGATTTCCAAGTTGTATTTTGGAGGATCAGTTGTATCAGAAGAGTTTATTAATTAATGAAAATATATTCTGAGATTTATTATTAGATTATCACTTTAATTTCTTGTTAGCATTTTATTTATTCTTCTTTATTCTTTTGTACTCTGTATTTATTTATTATCAATTTGTTTTGATATTCTCGGGTATTCGGGCGTAGGCCTGGCCAACCCGCATTCGGAAATCCGGGGGTATCACATGGGCTAATTAAATAATTTAAGTGGACCAAGATTGGGCCAATTAAATAACTTAATTAACATTAAGCCCATATTTCATGGGTCCATTTGTCAAAACCAAGGCTTACAAAAATTTGAGTGTCTACAATAACAAATTCTTTTCTTTAAATACAAGAACTTATTTTTTGGTGATTGTTAATTTTTATTTTTTTCATGTCTCAAGTTCGAGAATTCACATTTGTTTTAGTAGATCCATTACTTTAGTTATCAAGTAAAGATCATATGTGAACACAAAAGAAACGTGTGAGACAAGTAAATCAAAATTTTATCATCATATTAGGTTTGTTTAAAATGATCCACAAAAGAAAATGGAGAGAGCATATATATTAGGTTTTCTCTGCCCTTTCGTTGGCCGCAAGCAAAATGCAACTTATTTCCCTCACCAAAAAAATAATAAAAACATGCAACTCAAATTCAAACTAATTTTATATTTGTCAATTGATTTGAACAAACAATTCAGTACACAGTCAAAGTATCTGGGCTCACACTTAAATACAAGTTTTTATATTTTGAAAATGCCATATGTTAATTTCATTATCTACGCTATAAGATATTTTTTTTTCAACATGTACACTAAAATTATGATGCATCCATTGATTTCTCGTTAAATTGCGCTGTTAATTGTTTATAATATTCATAACAAACTATTCACTAAAGAGGAAAAAAAAAAAAAAAAAGTGAGAGATATCATTATCATTGATGTAAGGGGGATAGGGAGTGTGAAAACGAGAGCTCTCTCTGTTAGACCTAAGAGCATAAATGGGGCTGGGGTATTTTCAAAACTTGAGTGGAGTATTTTTAAAATTTTAACAAAAATTATTAGTTATAATGTAATTAAATACATACATACGTGTGTGTGTGTACACTTTATAAGTTCGTAAGGACATATTAGAATATATTTTATTTAAAAAATATATATATTTTAATAGATTGTTAGAGATACTTTAATATGAGACAGATGTAATATAATTTAATATCTCACAAAAAAATAAAAATAAAAATAAAAATTAGTTAACTCCACGAACCACAGAAACATCCATAGTGAGAAGGATTGGAACCTAAGCATTTAATGAAGCCTCCCGTGTTCCAAGCACTACCATTGGCATGACATATTATTGGTATATTCATTTAATATATATTTTTTATTTTAAAAATAATGTCTCTTTTTAAGAATCTTGACCTTTCACAAATTAAAAAGTTAGGATTTTTCAAATGAGACTCTTTTTTAGACTAATTAGAATACATTATTTAATTAATTTTGTCTCATTGTGTAGTGAATGCGACATGACAGCTTTCGGCCCAATGAGTGTTTATATTAAGTGACGGTGACGAATAACAAATAGTACGTATATTCTTCGGCGCCCGCATTTACAAAGTTGAATTGAAAATGGCCACCTAATTTCGAGGAATTACTCACTCCACCTTTACGCTCCTAAATGTTGAACAGATTCGAAGTTTGTAACTTCAAACGACTTTTTCTATTTGACAATAAACTCTCTTGTTCCCGTGGACTGGAAATATGGTCCCCGGCTATCTAGCAACGACTATATGCGACAATTATATGATCCTAGGCCTAAATTTAAGAATTAAAGTCAAATACATGCGTAAACATATATATATATATATATATACACACGTGCCGGCACGCACGCCCAAAAGAAAGTTAAGAAACACACACATATATATATATATACTGTCTTGGAAGAATCGGATTTAATTCTTGAGAGCCGTGCTGGAGGGACAAAAGAAAATGCAGCCCGGAAGCAGCTCACTTAAAACAGGTAGAAATGAAGTGGTGAAAAACCGAAGAAGAAAAATGAATCATCTAATTTCCATCCTTTACTCTCTCATCTTTACTCAAAGATCACAGGTATCTCTATCTCTCTCTCTCTCACTATATATACATATATATATATATATATAAACACAAACAAAATGATAATGGTTTTGTATTTTTTTGATCAGGAAAGAGTGGCATTACCTGTTTTGTTAGATAAAGCAGGTGACCATATAAAAGGACTGAAGGAAAGCATCGAACAACTGCAGAGAAGGAAGGAACAACTCAAGTTGCCGATACTTGCAGTTGAAGAAATGGGATCAACTTTGGAGGTGAAATTGATTACTCGGCTGAACAAAAATTTCATGTTGCATCAACTTCTAACTGTTCTCGAGGAAGAAAATGTTGAAGTTGTGAGTGCAAACTACTCTAATATGGGTGACAAGATCATATATACAATTCATTCACAGGTATATTGATGCAATTTTATATATATATATATAAACACACAAGCATCACATACAGTTGCAAATTAAATTAGAGCAGAATCACTTTTGTATCTTAATTAATGAACCAAATTATATCAAATGGCATTTTCATTAATTTTATGTAATGTACCACATTATCTGAGGTTAGACAGATAACGCATTTTGAAAATCATGAATATCAAACCATACATGATTCTTTAGGACGTGCAATGTGCGACTTTGGTCTTAACTTGGAGGTTAGACTGAGTTCAAAGGAAGGAATAAAATGACAACTCATTTATGGTTGAAGAAACCAATTTTCTTTTCGATCCCGCACATTTTTTACCCAACCCAATTTTGACCCATCTTAAATGTGATTCACCCATAACATTAAAAAGTGAAAGAGTTGGTGGTTTCTGACTCATTCTGCCACCTCTAGACTATATTAAGTGTTTGAGTACTTGCAAAATTCATATTTCACTCATCACATAATAAACACACAATACATATCTATTATATATTACACTCAACTCATTTATCTCTCTCACGAAGGGCTGCAAGTTGGGCTGGCCAACCCAACCTGGTCCCAGCCCATATTTCGGACGGCTCGTGCGGCTTCCACGGTCTTCTTCTTCTTCTTCTTTTCTTTTTTTCTTTTTTTTTTTTGTTTTTATCTTATCTTTTTTTTTTAACAAATGTACAAATTACATTTTCCTTTTCCATGTTTGTAAACATCAAATTTTTTAAGAAAATTTTATTTTTTAAATATCAAAATTTTGGGTGGATGGTCGGGTTTCACGGAAATTTTTATTTTTATTTCAAATATGCAAATTACATTTTCTTTTTTCATGTTTGTAAACATCAAAATTTTTAAGAAAATTTTATTTTTAAACATCAATATTTTGGGTGGGTCGATCGAGTTTCACAAGGCAATTTTTTTTTTTTTTTTGTAAATATGCAAATTACATTTTCTTTTTTTATGTTTGTAAACATCAAAATTTTGGGCGGGTCAGTCAAGTTTCACGAGACTATATATATATATATATATATATATATATATATATATATATATATATATATGTTATCCATGTATGTAAACATCAAAATTTTTAAGAAAATTTTATTTTTAAACATCAATATTTTCTGCAGGTCGATCGGGTTTCGCGGGTCGAATTTTTTTACAAATATACAAATTACGTTTTCCTTTTCCATGTTTGTAACTATCAAATTTTTTAAACATCAAATTTTTGGGCGAGTCGATTGGGTTTCACGGGTCAAATTATTATTATTTTTTTTCAAATATTCAAATTATATTTTCTTTTTCCATATTTGTAAACATCAAAATTTTTTAAAAAATTTTATTTTTTAAACATCAATATTTTGGGCGAGTTGGTCGGGTTTCACGGGTCACCTTTTTTTTTCTTTTTTTTCTTTTTTTTTTTTACAAATATATGAATTACATTTTCTTTTTCCATGTTCGTAAACATCAAAATTTTTAAGAAAAATTAATTTTTTAAATATCAATATTTTGGGTGGGTTAGGGGGGTTTCATGGGTTTTTTTTTTTTTTTTTTTTTTTTTTTTTTATAAATATGCAAATTACATTTTCCTTTTCCATATTTGTAAACATCAAAATTTTTAATGGGTTGACCCTATACATTTTTTACCCGCCCATTTTTAACCCGTTTTAAACGAGTTAAATATGAATTTTAACCCATGTTAACCCGTCCAATTTTTAACCCAACCCAAATTCAACCCAACCCCCCCATTTAACACCCCTAATATAATCATATAATTAAGTTAACATTTAAATGAAACACGAGTCGTCTTATCGTATTCTTTACTTTGAACTAGTGGAATTTATTTTGCAAGTGCTGTATTTTTTAATAGTTCATACTCCGTACTTTTATTCATTAGGTCGAACTCTTAAGATGGTGAGTTATTTATTCATTGGTGTATACATTTATACTATCTCTTATCAAAGTCACATCAAAATTCTCTCAAATCACAATGTATTTATTATCATCTCTCATTTACAAGATTAACAACTCGTTATATACTTTTGCAGGCTATTTGGCCCCGAATGGGCGTAGAAACTTCCCGAGTGCAAGAAAGACTAAAGAAACTCGTTTTTTGAACTATGAAATATTTGTCGCTCGAATAAAAACCTTGGCTTAGATGAGTCGTTTTAATAATATGTAGATGTTTCTTTGCTTTACTATATCATCTATATATATATATATATATATAGTTATTGTCTAATATCATGGAAATAGCGGGAGGAAGATTTGTGTATTTTTGAACTTCGGATTGTATTGAAAAAATGCAAAAATTTTCAAAATCACATTTTGATGAATGAATAACACTCTTTTTCGGAGATTTGTTCAAATTACACTACTGTCTTGTATTTTGCAACCTTTGTAATTCATCAATTACACTTAAGGAGGCTACAAAAAATTCAAGTCAAAATCAATTATGAGCATCCATAGATGCGCAATCACTTGGTCATTGAAGCTTGTATAGATGAGAAATAAGAATGTACAATGAGTCCCATTTTGGGAAGAAAGGAACACTAAGAGTAACCTTAGTTAGACAAACTGAACTATCAACAACAGGAGAATAAATAAAGACTAAGTTGCTAATGTTGAGAGAATGACAACATAGCAACCGTGACCCACAAACTACAGCATTCTACCCTTCAGAGAAACTCGAACACTATGATCATCAGCCTTTCTTGCATTGGTTAAGACAATAGCTAAGATTGACCACAAGCAGTGGAACAACCTTACTGGAAAAGTAGTTGCAGCTGAGAAAAGGATGTGAGTTGTTTCAAGTCATATGAACTTTTAAGCTTGACTGCTTCAAGTCTAGATCTAACACAGTCCTTCACCTGGGTTATGATTAGCTAGAGGGTGATGAGTTGTTCTTGAATGCTCTAGCATTCCGTTCCATCCAAATAAAGTATTCAGTTGCAGCCCAAAGCAGCTTATATATGCACAAGAAATTTTGGTGAGGACCAATGAGATGAACACCATTGCAAGAGACTGGACCAGCTGCTTGGTGAAATGTAAAAACCTGCAACTTCTTGGACAAACCTCCAAATATGTGAAGAGTACTCTCATTTGAAGAAGAGATGATCAATGAATTCCCAAGCTGAATTACATAGATAGCAGTTGGTGTAGTGCTTATGCAGAACTGGTTTTGCATCCAATGTGTAAAATCTTCCCCTAGCAGCTACCCAGAGAATAAGACTATGTTTAGGTATATGATGCTTAAACCACGTAACCTTGTGCCAATGAAAAATTGGTAAGGGAGGGTTGAAGTAGCTTAAGGTGTGTGCCAATCAGAACCCTTGGGTAGGGCTAGGCAGCCATTGAATACTATCTATTTCAGAGGATGGTTGGGGCAGTCCCTGAAGTTCAGAAATGAAACTTCTTAAGTTGAAAAACTAGCTGTATACTATTAGGATGAACCCAATGGTTATTGTAAACTAGGCTATCAACTAAGAGATTGCTGTCTAGTTGAAGAATTTCCACACCTGAGAGCCCCAACTGCTGCACTATCGGACCATTTGGCAACCAGTAATCCAACCACAAACTGGTGTGTTTACCTGCTGTAATACCCCTAATTTTAAAAGAATAGTCTCGGCATTTATAAATTTGTTTTAATTAAATTTTTAATTGTTTAATTGATTATTTGGTTATTTGTTTATATGTTTAATTGAATTACTTGTTTTAATTGAATTGGGTGCTTACATTATTTATTTGAATAAATATTTGGTATGAATTGAGTTGTGCGTATTTGTGTGTTGTAATCTATATGACTTACTTGTGTGTTGGTTTATAATTATGTGGTAATGAAATGTTTTATTTGTTTATGTGGTTTTGTTTTATTTTATTTTTAAAAAAAAAAATCCAAAATGATTTTATTTTATTTAAATTAAAGAACAGGGATTTGGATAGTAGTCATGGACCAAATGAATAGGTCACATGGACTACTTGAATAAAGCTTAAATGGGTAAGGATTATAACCCATCAGCATTGGTTACATATATCTATATACTTTGATGGGTATATATATCTATATATAAGGATGTTATTATAAATATTATTATTACAATTAGTATTAATATTAATAGAGGAATCAAATTGATATATATGTATATATTTTGGTGTATATATATGTATATACGTGTATACATATGGTGCATTATTATTATTTAGTATTATTAATAATACAAGGGAGTTTTAGTAATATATATATATATATGGCTGGGTCTATGTGTGTGTGTATATATATATATGTATATATGTCGAGCAGACTAATAGTTATTTTTATTAATATAGTAATTATATTATTTCGTTTATTTTGTTCTCTTTTCCTCTAAGTCAGAACGTGAGTTGGTTAGGGACTCGGATTAGGGTTGGCTTGTGTAGCTTATATAATATAACTATGCATAGTCTGTGGCGGCTATTTTAAATACATAATATTAGAGGAGGCAGAGCGAGTATACAAAGATGCGAAAATTAGAGAAAGAGAGAGAAGAGAGGAAGTTTGGCCAAGGGGTTCGGGCCAATCCAAGGAAGGAAAGAATGAGGGACTATTCGTGGCTAGGACCAAGCAGTAGAGAGGGTTCAATGGCAACCAAGGTCACTGGAAAACCTAGGAAGAAGAAGAAAGGGTTTTAATTCAAAACCCTAGAGGCAAGTTCTTATTCTTACTCTTTCCCTTAGGTATGTGTTCTATACATGCCTAGTTAATTCCAGGGGTTAATCAGATAATAAATTAACCTTATATGCATGCTTGAATTGGATTAAAACTGAGTTATGTATTATTTTGTGTTCTTTCTAAATCTTGAATTTTATTACATGAGAACTTATTTTAATTGATGTTTAAGATGCATAATATATTCAAATAATTATTTGGAATTGTATGGGACTTCGTTGGACCTTAACGGGGGCGATCGGAATGTTAGAAAGTCACCGGAGATGAAGAAGACGGAGGATAGCCAAGAGTAGAGGCGGCTCTACTCTTGGGACTTCACCTGTTCGTGGGTTTTCGCTATTGTATTTGGTTTTGGGGTATTTCAGGATTGTGTAGGTCAATTTAAGAGTTATAAATGACTACGATGAACATGTTAAATACCCCGGATGCATAATTTATAATAATATGCCATGAACTTGAACAATATGAAATTTGAATAATTCACATATTGTAAATAGATGATTTAATTGCTTAATATTGTTTTAACAATTCAAATGGATATAGTATGATTTTAAATCAAGTATTTACAGTATAATATTCTTAATTATCTGATTTTGATTATACTTGTTTCTGGATTAATTGATGCATTGATTTACTATTTCATCAATTATTAGATGGAATGGTGGATTTAGTTGCTTAAAAATAACTTAGCAATTAACATTGATGTTATATGGATTATTTGATTTACTGCTTTATCTGTTGCATCATATATTAGATTGTGTGGTTAATGCACCGGTATGGGATGGTGGCATTCTAGGGACAGATTAACCAGTTAAGTCCTACCTATTTTTATGTAAAAGGATGAATTAACCAAAAGAATGTTAAGTCCTACCTATATTTAAGTCAGATCAACTGAACAAGTTGAATAACTTCTAGTGAATTAATTATAGTTGGATAGGATGGATTATATATATATATATATAGTGCCATGATATGAGTTTGAGTCTCAGGATCATAGTTAAGGTACGTATATTGCCTAGGATGGATAACTGAATATAGTAGACATCTGGGTGCCCTGGTAGGTCTAAGTACTCACGCCCACTTTATGTTCAATTTGCTTGTTGCCTTTTATTCAGGTTGAGACAAACATATGGTCCAGTGAGGGTCCTATAGTGTGTATCTATATATGTATACGGACTACTACTTATTGTTGGATTGACTAGGATATATACGTGTATCGGATCTCCGCTTGGACTGTAGTAGAGTAGAACTTATTTGTGGGCCTGACCCACCATTATTTTCCAGGTGTTCATCAGGAGTAGGGATTGTTCGTGCTGAGCAAGGATCATCTACTTCATTCTTCCATATTATCTACATAGAAGTTTCATTTATGTTTCAGTGTTCTAAGGTAGACAGTTATATTACTGTCACTTGTTCAGTTGGGATTTTCTAGGAATCCACATAGTATGGATTCTCGAGTTGTATTACTATTAGAGAATTGGATGTATCAGAATATTTTATTATTTATGAAAATTTATTTTGAGGATTTTATTAATGGATTATTATTTTAGTTTCTTTCAGCATTTTATCTATTCTTAGTTATCATATTTATATTCTGTGTTTGATTATTGCCGATTTGTTTTTGATATCCTCAGGTATTCAGGCGTGGGTCTGACCAACCTGTATCCGGAAATTCGAGGGTATCATACATGCCCCCACCCTATGCTTTAATAGACCTCTTGGCATCAACCTCAACCCTAGCAACTTCCTCCAAAATCCATAATTCAAACTAGAAGATTTTATTGCCCAAAAACTTTTTGATTTAATGAGATAACTAAGGGTTCAGTCCACCCAAAGGCTCCCTTTCTTAGAACAAATGCTCCAAATGTGCTTTAAGTTAGCCACTATATTAGCCAATTCCAAATCAGGAAAGCCAGGTCCACCATAAATTTTAGGTCTACAGATAGCTTGCCAAGCAACCTTGGCACCCTTGTTCTTCAAATCAACACCCGTCCAAAAGAAGCTCTTAAGGATTTGGTTTATTTATTCAATTACTTTCTTTAGGAGCACAAAAGTCTGAGACCAATAAGCTTGGATTGAACTAAGGATTGATTTAACAAGGACAACCTTACCTGCATAGGATTAAAATTTTAAAGTCCAACTGCTCACTCTGGCAGTAATCTCAATTAGGGTTTGGCAGCCCCTTGCCCTAATTCCAGAAGAAGAAAGGGGAATGCCTAAGTACATTACAGGCGGTGAACCAGCTTCAAACTGGAGAAGGGATATGATGTCATTTTTCATGGTATTATTTACCCTAGAGAAGAAAACTTTGGATTTTGCTATATTGATCTGCATACCAGAACAACTGCATAACTTATTCAATGCTTCCATCAAAACCTGAACTAAGAACAAATTGGCATAGGAGAACATCAAAATGTCATCAGCAAATTTGAGGTGGATAATTGACAGCTTCTTGCACCTCCAGTGGTACTTAAACATTGGATTGTTCACAATGTGGCTTTAAAGACATAGTGTTAGCACTTCTATTGCAAGGACAAAGATCATTGGGGATAGGTGATCCCCTTGTCTAATACCTCTCTTTCCTTTGAAAAAGCTAAAGAACTCACCATTGAGTGATAATGAAAATGATGGGGTTGTAATACATTGTTCAATCCAAGTGATGAATTGAGGAGGAAACCCAAGCAGTTTAAGTGAGTACAAAAGGAATTGCTAGTGAATAGAATCAAATGCCTTACTCAAGTCAATCTTAAGGCACAATTTAATGGGTGGTTGGCTCTATGATAACCATTCAAAAGTTTATGGGCTAGTATGGTATTATCTGAGATGTGTCTACCTCTTATGAAGGCATTTTGGGTAGGTTTGATAAAAAAAGGGTAGGATAGGTCCCAATTTAATAGAAATTAGCTTAGAAATGGTCTTATATAACAAGTTACAACAGGAAATGAGCCTGAAGTCATTAACAGAAGAGGGGTTTGGGGATTTGGGCACCAATCCAATATAAGAGCAATTTATCTAAGTGAGCATTTTCCCTGAGATGAAAAAATCTCCCACTGCTGCAATAACATCATGCCCCACTATTGGCCAAGAGTGTTTGAAGAAGCTTGAATTGTAACCATCTAGGCCAGGGCTTTTATATAGGTGGAATGATAGTATGCAAGACTGTTTTCCTAGGTCAGTGGGAATGGCTGTGAGTGAGGGTAGCAAGTGAGGTGGAACTGACTTAGTAATGACTGATGAGAATGAGTCCAGACCTGGATAACTATTGCTGCATTATCCAAGAATGGATTGGAAATGGCTGAGAAGCTCCCTTTGCAGGTCCTGTCCTTGGAGTTGGTTCCTATTTGGATCAGTAATAGATTGGATTTTCTCTTATTTACTTTTGAGTTGAAGCTCTTCATGAAAAAGGAAGTATTTCGATCCCCCTCTCTGAGCCAGTGAACCTTGGATTTCTTTTTAAAGAACATTTCCTCAGCCAACAAGAGTTCAGAGAACTTCCTTGAAAGGTCCTTCTCACAATGTCTAAGGGTGTCATTAGTTGGATTTGAATCAAGATTTCTTTGACAGAGGAACAACTCCTCTCTACATGCTGCCACTCTATCAGATAATGCACTGTATTCATTCTTATTCAGCAGCTTGAGGGGTTGCTTGAGAGCCCTTAGCTTGTGGGAATTTTTCCATCCAAACATTGTTAATGATAACTTTGTCAAATTTCCTTAAGATGTTAGCACAACCAAAGCTACCATTGGACTATGTGTGGAAGATTCCATTGAATCTCAGGTCTTCTAATCCATTAGTGCTTAAGAACTCCTTAAAATCAGCCATACTAGGTGTCCACCTCAGTGCGCCCCCAAATGAATCATTCACATGGAGAATACATTAAAATCTCCTAGAAGAATCCAAGGTCCATTAGGGAATGAGTACAGGTTTAGATTCCTCCATAAGGCTCTTGTCTACTGCAATGTTTGCAGCAAAAACAAAGGAGGCTCCATACTTCATTTTCAGGTCTCTGATGAAGATAGTGAAATTAATTGCTTGACTGCACTCATTAGATGTGATACCCCCGAATTTCCACGTGTAGTTTGGCCAGGCCCACACCCAAAGACCCGAGGATATCAAAAACAATTAAGGTATTTAAATAAGCACGAAATACAAAAAGAATAATAAGTAAGTTGAAGGAAAACTAACTAATGAATAATAAGTAAGTTGAAGGAAAACTAACTAATGAATAATAATCCTTAAATAAATAAAATCTCCAACTAGTACAACTCGAGAATCCAATATTCAAGGACCCCTAAATAAAATCTCAAAAATCCAAACATCTGGAAGTCTAGGTTTGAAAACAGGAAACACATATAAAGAAATAGGATCCTACATCGTAGCAATCCGGAAGAGTGATAAAGAATGTCTCTGATCAGCAGCTACATATACTCTAGGTTTGGAACATTCGATGACTTGAAAACAATGGTGGGTTAGACCCATAAGCAAGTTCTAATCTACTACAACCCAATCAGAGACCTGATACAGACAACATCCCTAGCTATACTCATGCAATGGCTAAATAGTCAATAAATATATACACACTAAGACGTTCACCACAATATAGGGCAGACTGAACCGGATAGACAATACCAGCTAACAAAACGCACATAATGGTGGACTAGTGGACCATATCTACCAGGACACGCAAATCTCCTATATTTGATTACTCATCTCCGGCAATATACGTCTCAGTCCTAACCACCGATAAGGAGACTCAAGCTCGTATCGGGGCCATACATATATATCTATATATACACACATAAGCTATATCCTGACAATGACACACATATCAAGGAGAATAGCTTAATAGTTATCTCAATGATCAACACAACACAGCCAGATCTTGACAATGGCACCCATCTCAGAGAGATTATCTTATTAACTATCTCAATGATCACAACACTCCCTTAGCCATATCCTAACAATGGCTCTCACATTAAAACAGATATATATATATATATATATATATATATATATATATATATAATGTATAAGATCAACAATATTTAAAGTGCGCAGTTTATGTAAGTTCCATCATTTAAATGCAAATCATAAAATTACATAAGCATTTAAATTATCTTAACTATAAATATAAATAGCTCACATACTAAACAGGATACAGATCATGTATAAGATCACATCAATAATAATACATATGATTAAAATCGTAAAACATATTATAGAATTTTAATGCACAGTTAAAGCATTAACCCAAACTAATTTGCCACTTATTAGTTGAATTAATTTTTTTTTTATAAATCAACGTGTAGTAAATTATACCACGTACACCACCAAATCAGCCAATAAAACATTTTTCCCACTTTCCACTAAAGTGGTAAAACTGATCAACCACTAGAACAAAAGTGGTTAAAACAAACAATATCTAACACGTTCTAACTATTTTTATTAATCAATTTAACACGTAACCAATACTAAGTTATACAAATAATTAAATCTAAATATGTTCAATTATTTAATTTAGGAAACGTTGGTAAAATCGACCAACCACTACACCAAAAGTGGTAAAAACAAACGTTATCTAACACGTTAGATCTTATATAATAATATCTGTTTTTTTATTTTATATATATATATATACCAATTTAACACATAATCAATACTACGTTATCCTATATATATTAATAGGAGCGCTGAAATATATTCTCTACCCTTCCCTGATAGAAGAGGGTGTGAATCAGAAAGAAAATTTTCTACTTTCCAAGTTTGTCACGTCCTGAAATCCCATGACTTGGGTCGCAAAAAAAAAAAGGAAAATAAATTAAAAAAAAAAAAAAACAATTAAAGAATTAATTAAGTAAACAAATAATTAACAATTAAATAAATAAAGTCCACTTATTAAAACTCTCATATCCCAACCTAATTTCTCAAATGAAGGTCACCTAAACGGATTCACATTAGTAAGACAATGGTGACCAAAAACAGCCCATGCTTGATGTTGGTGCAACACAATAATATGATTATATAATTACATTCCATCAACTAAGTTTCTTTCCCATGGGCACACATACGGATCAGTAACTATAACAAGGTGACACTTACAATGACAAAACTGCTTACTTAGGCGACAACACAGTAACTATAAATTGTTAAGACAGTAAAATTAATACCATGACCTTAATTTCAATAAGGAAATCTAATTCATTAGACTTAAAAAATACATACATATATATATATATTGGCATGGTGCAAGTCAACAACTTTGTCCCAAACAGTACCCAATAATTATATAACACATAGTTCATAAATTTAAACATCAAAACCGAGAAATTAACAATGAAATTTCAGCATTAAAACCGCAAACTATTACATGTAATAGTTTTAGCGAAAATAGAAAAACTACGTATCCTCACAAACTATTACCTGTAACAGTTATTTGTTTTCTACACAATTTTGAAACCCGAGTAGTTTGAAATGTGCAAATAAGGAACACATCTGCATATGTATATCAGCACTTTCAGGCAATAAATCATGAAATAGTTTTAGCAAAATAAAAAAACTACGTATCCTACCAAACTATTACCTGTAAAAGTTATTTGTTTTCTACACAATTTTGAAACCTGAGTAGTTTGAAGTGTGCAAATAAGGAACACATCAGCATATATATATATATATCAGCACTTTCAGGCAATAAATTCCATAATTCCCAGTCAATTAAATTCCAGTTTTAATCGTTTATTTCAGTCCTAAAGTCTTGCATGTGATGGTGAATTAT